CTGATTTCCTTAAGAATGGATAGGTTTGATCTTCTTGCAGTCCATGGGACTCTCAAGAGTCTTCCTCCAGCACCATAATTCAAAAGCATCAATTCTTCAGCGATCAGCCTTCTTTATGGTCCAGCTCTCACTTCCATACATCACTACTGGGAAAACCATAGCTTTAACTATACGTACCTTTGTCCGTGTAGTTGGTTTGACCATTGGTTTTCTTAGAACATACCATATCTTAGAGTATGATATATCATGCTCAGTCTGTGCTCTGTGCAAGATGCAGGAATAGACAGGTGAAGAAGGAAAGAACATGTGGTGTTTGTTAGTGTTCTGATGTAGGCTTTTATAGAGAATTCCTAGAGAGTGTAGTTGTTCCATATATGCTTGTTTCTTGCCATATTAACAATGGCTTTGTATTCTTTTTCTTCTCTGCTCTTGGTAAACTTTTGTTGGTGCTCAGAAATTTGAAATCTTTTTCTAGCTCTGGAAAAGCCAAGCTAGTAACTGAATTTGGTAGCTCTTCAATTTAGAGAAAGTAAAAGGGGAGCATGGAAAAAGAAAAATATTGGGTCTCACAAAAGGGTTAAGAAAGCAATAAAACTTTTCTGGTGTATAAGAGAGGATGAGAGAAAAAGAGAAGACTTTTCCAGGAAATCATATGATACGCCTGCAATTAAGTCAAATAGGTTAAAGGCTTGTTATGCTAGGATTAACACACGATAAATACATCCACTGAATTACACGAAGATCTATGGGATGATTACGTATAAAAATTCCATGTAATGAGATGTATTTATCATCAAAAGGTCTGTGGCCTTTAATAAAATGTTACAATAATTATCGCACAAACGTGAAAAGTCAATAGAGGTACAGATGCCTTGTCTTTATTCCTTCATTGTGATTGGATTAATTTCAATGCCTCCAAGCCCTACTGACATTTAGCCTTCAAGAAGGAGGACTGGTGCTAAGGTTGCAACCTCTCAGCACGCCCTCTTGACTCGTCTTTTTTCTTTTGGATACAAGTCCCACTTGTGACCCCTGGAGTCTGTGTAATCTCACTTGACAACACATGTATAAATTTGTGCAATGATTCATGCATACATATTTCATCGGCAATAGGTAATATTTATTATCTAGTTTGTTTTTTTATAAATCAACAAAATGCACACCCAGGCAGCATATGCATAACAACAATTACAACCAAATGTTAAAATGAAAACCCCTGACAAAGTTTCATGAGGTTTATAGGTGGATGTTGGAGGCACATTTCCAGTCAGGGAGTTACTGAAGCTGATGTCCGTCATACTGTGTCTTACTTATTGCAACAGCAGTTAAGTTTCCATTGGAATCCACAAACTGTATGGAAAATAGTGGCATCTTCCTCTTGCCCCTCCTAAGCCTCCCGAGGTGCTGTCAGCTAATTTGAAAGTGCTTTTGGGTTCTAGACAACCAGCTGTTGAGTAGGATGCATCATCACTTTTTAAGATGCTGAAGCCTGGAGCGCTCTCTTCATTTCATGCCCTCTATGTGTGGTATCGTGGGTGGATAAAGGGACGCGGATGGCGCTGTGGGTAAAGGCCTCAGCGCCTAGGGCTTGCCGATCGAAAGGTCGGCGGTTCGAATCCCCGCGGTGGGGTGCGCTCCCGCTGCTCGGTCCCAGCGCCTGCCAACCTAGCAGTTCGAAAGCACCCCCGGGTGCAAGTAGATAAATAGGGACCGCTTACTGGCGGGAAGGTAAACGGCGTTTCCGTATGCTGCGCTGGCTCGCCAGATGCAGCTTTGTCACGCCTGCCACGTGACCCGGAAGTGTCCCCGGACAGCGCTGGCCCCCGGCCTCTTGAGTGAGATGGGCGAACAACCCTAGAGTCTGTCAAGACTGGCCCGTACGGGCAGGGGTACCTTTACCTTTATGTGTGGTATCACGTCAAGCCAACCTGTAATTGGTCACCGATGCTTTCAAACTGTGTGCCATTTTTTTAAATCCCTGAACCAATCTTAGTAACCCTCACTGAAAATTTAGTATTTAAAAAAATGAATCATGCAATACCAAACTGCAGGGTTTATAGGACAAGTTTCACTGGATCCACCCAATCTGACATCCGATACACTGCTCTGATACCAGAAAGGGAAATCTGATGGTGGAGCTTTCCTGACAACTGCTATTGGCTCCTCCTAAGTTCTGGTCCAACTGACACTGGAGCTCTGTTGGTAGGGCTAAAATGCAGACACATTAGGGACACTCCAAGCAACAGCGTAGATTTACAGGATGCAAAGCTGCCCTGGGCCCTGGCAGTCCCCCACCCAAATTGGTGGGAAGTTTAGTACAGTGGTACCTCGGTTTAAGAACAGTCCGGTTTAAGAACGATTTGGTTTATGAACTCCGCAAAATCAGAAATAGTGTCCTGGTTTGAGAACTTTACCTTGGTGTAAGAACAGAATCTGAACAGTGGAAGGGCACCAGTGACAGGAGGCCTCATTAGGGAAAGCATGCCTCGGTTTAAGAATGGTTTGGTAAGAATGGACTTCCGGGACGGATTAAGTTCGTAAACTGAGGTACCACTGTACTGGGCATGACTAAATCTCCTCCACTCGTTTCCCTCTCATTGCTTCCAGCTTGGAAAGGGGTGAGAGAGGATCTGCATAGCGGCTTTGCATTACATAGAACCATGCTATATGTCAGGAGTACATATTTTTGAGAAATGATGTGCTGTGCTCTATAAGAAATAAGAATGCCATTTTAGTATCACTACTACCACCTGTGACCTTAGCTGCCGTGATTAAACATTGCATGTACATATACGTTGGTGTCAGGCTTTCTCCTGAATCCTGTACTCCTCCTGTTCAATGACATCTGCAGTGATGACATGTGGTAAGTAGAAGAAATTAGACTGTGACACATAATAAAGAGAAGAGAGATCAGAACCCCCAGCAGAAAATTTTGGGCAGGGCATATGTGTGCACACGGGTGTGCGATCTTGATTCCTGCAAAGCTGCAGAACAAGGAGGTCTTTGTGCCGTTAGATGTGACATCATGGTGTAATAAAAAGATAAGAATGCCACATATACTTACACAAGAATATTGTTGACCTCAAGGTCTCTTTGACAATATTTGACCTCAGTCAAATAATAATAGGGTGTTTGACTAATCAAGGGATTTGTAACCTAACCTTAATATGCTTCCTTTGCTTTGTGACCTTGATTTTAGTGTACGTGCAACTATTAATATGTTGACTTTTCTCTGTGATGGATACATTAGCATATTATGGAAGGATGTATGTTAATTATTTTCCAATGATTATGTTTCTTTTTCAAAATGATGATAATAAATAAATTTAAAGAATGGAAAAACTTTTTAAGAAAATCTTTTTTTACTTAATAGTTTCAGATAAGTTGCCTTTTTCATTCACAAAATTGATTTTAAGTTTTCCCTGTCTCCTAGGATGCCAAACCAATAAAAATATTGTCCTTGTCCATAAATGGCAAAAGAAGTTTTGCTACAACCCCTTGTTTGGAAGTATAAAAGTCTACAGTGCGCTACACATAAAGGCAGCTGCCTGTTTTGGAATTTACAAATAGGCTAATTTTTATCAAAGGTTTTCCTTTCATGTCCTTTGACTACTAAGCTTTAAGAGTTAACCAAAAGATAACTAAGCATTAACCCGTACTGCAGTTTTTATCTCCTTTGGCAATCCCCCTGGGTCTTCAGCTAAGTACATTAAATGGAGCATAAATCTTTCAGTTGTTTTCATTAAGTCACATATTTAGAATACATAGCCCAGTTTATTTGATCAATTGTAAAATATTAGCTGCCGCACTGAAGATTTGTGACATGGTTTGTAACAAGTGAACAAACGTTTCTGGAGCAGGCTGGAGGAAAAAAAGTGCTGGGCTGCATGGATAAACTAACAACAATTAAAGTTTGGTGTATTAATGTGCTCCCCCTTCAATATTCTTGAAATATATACTCAAGTCCAATAAAAAGCTCAGGCAACTTTGAAGATAATTCTAGTATCAGCTTAATATTCTTTTTCATTTGTACTTCTCACTTTACCAATTCTGTGTTCCTTTTCAGGCCAGGCCTAAAACCCAAAGCGTATTGAAATTCTAAGAAAGACTAGGAGTGTTTATTTCATCATAAATAATGTGATTTATTTTTCTTACCTTCTCTGTCCACATCACAGCAATCCTGGAAGAGACCTTATCTGACCTGCTGTAAAGGGAACCCACATTTCCCAGGTCCAGACTAAGCAGGTTTGCAAATTGACTTCCAACACAACCAAAATGGCTTCCTATAAAACCCATTGCTGTTGCACCATAACGCAAATGTGACTTCCAGAGAGCAACAGCTGAAACTACACTAGTGTTGAATATGTCTGTCCTGAAATTAAAACACAAATATATTTCTTTAATGCCAGTGCACTGCCCAAGAGTTATTCCAGAGTGCATAAAATGCATTTTGAGGGAAAGTGTTGCCTTCAATAGAATGCTCTTATTTCCTTATCTATATCTTATCTTTTCCCCATTTCTTTTAAAAAACAACCACCTTCAGTCTATTTACATACATTTAAGTAGTTTAGGCATAGTCTGATTCTTTCTGTTTTTCTTTTCTGGCGCGTCATCCACACTTCTGCTTGTCCCGTGCTTTCTACGCATGGGTCAGAGCAATTTTGCCTACCGCTTTCCCCTTGAAAACCCGCTTTTTAAAGTGCTAGGTAAAGGTAAAGGTACCCCTGCCCGTATGGGCCAGTCTTGCCAGACTCTAGGGTTGTGCGCTCATCTCACTCTAAAGGCCGGGGGGCAGCGCTGTCCGCAGACACTTCTGGGTCACGTGGCCAGCGTGACAAGCTGCATCTGGCGAGCCAGCACAGCACATGGAACGCCGTTTACCTTCCCTCTGGTAAGCGGTCCCTATTTATCTACTTGCACCCGGGGGTGCTTTCGAACTGCTAGGTTGGCAGGCGCTGGGACCGAGCAACGGGAACGCACCCCGCCGCGGGGATTCGAACCGCCGACCATGCGATCGGCAAGTCCTAGGCGCTGAGGTTTTACCCACAGTGCCACCCGCGTCCCCTTTAAAGTGCTAAATCAGAGCAAATGTGTATCTGGAGAAAACTCGAGTGATGTTTGCTGTCATTCAGTGGTAAAGCAAAAGTTTTCCCAAGGCCAATAGCAGCAGGGAAAGCACAAGTCTGGCTGAGCCCTCATATTAAAATCTTCTAGTCCACAAGCCTTTCCTACAGGCCTTTCTGTCTCTGCCTCTTTTTCTCTCTCTGGCCTTGTTCAAATGGAATAGGAAACCATCGTTTCTCACTCCACAGGGAGTCTCAGGCTCTTGGCCCTCATCTCTTCTCCCCTCCTGCAGCCAGGAGAGGAGATCCATAGTTCCAATATAGGCTTTGTTAAATCATTATGTTTTAACAGATGTACAAAACAGGTACAAAAATTAATAGCGTGAAGTGCAGTTCCAGCACCTCTCAGGTGGGTGTTATTGCCATTATGAATTCTGGCACCTCTTTTTAAAAGAAAAAAAGCACTTGTTGAGGTGTAATGTATATGTTGCCAACTATATACAGTGGTACCTCAGGTTAAGAACTTAATTCGTTCTGGAGGTCTGTTCTTAACCTGAAACTGTTCTTAACCTGAGGTACCACTTTAGCTAATGGGGTCTCCCGCTGCTGCCGCGCCGCCGGAGAGCACGATTTCTGTTCTCATCCTGAAGTAAAGTTCTTAACCCGAGGTAATATTTCTGGGTTAGCAGAGTCTGTAACCTGAAGCGTATGTAACCTGAAGAGCATGTAACCCGAGGTACCACTGTATCTGGCACATGGCTCCTTTAAGAGAGACCTGAAGAGGGCCCTTAACAAAGATGTACTCATTCCTCCAAGCAACTCAAGATAGCATTACTGACATGGATTCCCCGTCCTGTTCCCACAACATCAGTCCTGTAAGGTAGACAAGGCTGAGGAAGAGTGATTGGCTCATACGGAGCTGAAGGATTGAGGGTCTAAGAAATATTTTTAGTCTAATGATAAGGTTTTATATAGAAAAAAGTTGTTACAAGAGATCAGAAAGCGTCTAGCCCCACCTTCTCCCTGGTATGCTGGTTATTATTATTTTTAAATGTTGAACTAACTTCTTTGTATAAAAGGGTATTGTGAGAACCCACAGCTCCCAGATGCTGTGTATACACCATATATTTATGTATGACCCCCCCCCCCCCGCAAAATCTGGGAACTGTAGTTTGTAAAGGTGTGGGGAATTGTAGCTACATGAGGATTAAACTTCAGTGGATTCTGTGGAGAAACATGTGTTTCAAATGTGTCTTAACACATACGGTGTGAACACAGGCTTACTACAGCGGCAACCAGGCCTTATTTAATAGGAGGGGAGAAATGTGTTCATGACTCAGACCTTTTTTTGTTCTTTTAAACTGCTTAAATCTCAGTATGATGTTTCTTAACTTTCAGCGTTCCAAGTGCTAAATAAGGTTAGCAGAGCCCAGTTTCTGACTGCAGGGATCTAAATATTGCAAAGGAACGATCGTTGCACAGTCTGGTCTTACTATCAGTAATGTACTCTCAGGAATCAGTAACACGTTGTTAAAAATGGCTTGCTGCAGCCTCTCGTTGAACACGAGATGGAAGTAGAGAAGTTGGTGCTAACCTACGCTGCAATGCCACTTATTTTAAACATGTCATATGTTGAGTATGTGTGATAAGTTGTTGTTCCATGACAAATTATGTGAGTTGATTAGTAATCAGAAATGGGCATGGAAGGGGCCTCTCAATATGTGTGTGTGTCCCCCCCCCATATGCGGTGGGCCTAAAAAGGGCTTCTTAGATAAAAGACACGAAGCATGAAAGCAAAGTAAGACCTGATAACCCTATTTAAAAGAGGAGCTATTAGTAAATACCATTGCTAAACCACCCAGTAAACATTTGAATGACTTTAGATTACTGTTAACCTATGGAGTGACATTGTTAATCAGACACAAGGTAGCTGTGGAGGCAATGCATATGTGTAAGTTAAGCAACTAATTTCAATTTTGCAAATATATAAAGTGGAAAAAATATGTGCAACTGTCATTTCCATTACACCACCTTAACAATGCTAGGATACCTGGCATTAACCAATGGTTGCAGTACAGGTTTCACTGAATGCATCTTTTTTGGAGCGATACAGATGTTTGATGTTATGCTGGTCATTATTTCCTTAACCACTGATCCTAGGGAACTCCATGTAATATACAAATGTTTGTAATGCACAAATAATACCCCCGAAACTACCATAACGAAACTTAACCAAGAAAGTAGTTAGTCATATTTTAGGGCGTATGAATGTTGTATCTTATTTGTATTGGCTTTTAGTACCTGGGTCTAGGGATCGATGAATTTGTCAATTTTGGTCTCTCATTTTTCCAATCTGAAATTAAGTTTTCTACTGCAGCAGTTTGTGGAAAAAATTCTCATGAACATTTCTCATAAATTTAGTGTGAATTTCCCTTAATAAATGCATACCATTTTGAAACATTTTTGCAAAGCAATTTCTCCTAATATACTGCTTTTTAAATGTTATTTTCACTAATATGTGCATTTTAATGCACATTTTACCATAGTAGTATATGGTATATGCATGTATATGCATGTTTGTAAACATTACTTGACTGCAGAACTGCATTGCAAAGTTTGAATAAGTGTGAATTTTAAAGGATACCTGTGGTTCAGTTTGCATATTGTCTAGCAAAGTATGGATTTCTAAGTTAACCTGTAGAAAGCAGATGTTAGGCCAGAATAATAGTAAGTGACCGTGATTACCCTGCAGTTCCACACAACAACTCGTGACGACCCTAGAGCTAAATTGGCAGGAACCAATATGAATAAAGAAACTTGCCTTAAATGAGGATAGATTATTTATCTATTTAGGCCAGTATTGCCTGGCAACAGTACTCCATGGTCTTTAATCTCATCTGCCAACTGATCCTTTCCATTGGAGATGTCAGAGATTGAACCTGGAACCTTTTGCATCTAAAGCAAGAAATAGTTATTATAATTGGCCATGATTCAGGCTTGTGCCCTGTGATTCTCCAGCCGTTTGACTTAACACTCACAGGTGCAATCCATTGTCTCTCCAGACAGATGGGATGCCAACAACTACAAGAAAAAGATTCAGTTTCAGTTGCAGGCAACTGCTCACATAAAAGACCATGCAGACCTCATTTATAAGAACTATAAAAATTATCCTTTATATGTGTGTGAGAGAGAAGTGGGGGGAGGGAGAGGGAGAGAGATTTTTAGCAGTGCAAAAAAACCCTGCTACTAATTGTAGGTCTGCCAAAGCCTTTTCATGCTGTTCTGTCCTCATCAGAGTGATTCACTAATAAAACTTTGAATGACTCTACAGCCTGATGAGGTTAATTTATTTTGCATAAGAGTGAGAAAGCATTTATTGAGTGGGCTTAAGATTCGCTGTCCTCGTAGGGAGCAAAAGACCAAAACACTAGTGGAGTTTTCAAAGACAGAAAGATGGCAAACAAGGGAGAGTGCTGTCAGTTGACATTTTGCTTTCATGCAATTGCTGATCGCTTTGCAACATCCTGTTGTTGTTGTTGTTTAGTTGTTTAGTCGTGTCCGACTCTTCGTGACCCCATGGACCAGAGCACTCCAGGGATGCGTTGAGATTTGAAAAGTAGATCATACCTCAGGATTTTTATGAAAATTTATTTCCCCGTTTTGAATGCACCTGTTGCCCTGGTCATGTGAGATTTGTTGGAGCCAATTAGAACAGTTTGAGAATAGAGCAAGTGAACAGTGAGTTGCTTGCTCAGGCCCTTTTTGGAATAGAGAGTCTGTGCTTGTTTGCTTAAAATAGGACTTTGTGAAACAGATGATTTGTGCCTTGCTTTCACAAGAGATACCAGACCCAGAGAGGGACAGCTGGATCCAGAGAGGGAAAATACATCATAATGATCAGGGATATTGATTCCAGGGACAGCGGATGTCAGTGGTCTGGTAGGACTTACAGGCTCCAGATACATGCAAGTAAATGTCAAATACACATGTGTAATGCGCATACGCAGATACCATACTGCCATGTTTAGCCATAAATACAAACCAGGCAGCCAGAAATGTAAGGAGGTGCAGAAAAGGGTACTGAAAGAAGGTAAAGTACCCCACTCAGTCTTCCAGTTTTTCAAAACAGACAAGGCCTTTCTGCAGTCTGTCTCAGGAAATATGCTAAGGAAGTAGATGAGCAAAAACAAGATGAAAATGACTGGCAACTGATGGTGAGGAAAAGCTGCTAGATGCATCACGCAACTCCAGACTAATGCTTTCAATAGATGGGCAGATAATACCATCATATTCAGAAGGACGTTTACAAAAAGCAGGAGAGAGCCGTGTGATGCTATCGGATGCATGTTTTTGTTTTTGCTTTCAAAATTCCAAGCATGTGACCTTAAAAAAAGAAGGTCTATCCATACAAATGTTCTTGTATGTGATGCCTTTACTTTTGAATGATGGTATGCATAATTTTCTTGATTTTCCCCTCATGTTATTTATTTGTTAGTGAATCAGCTTCAACACACATGCCTCAAGATGATGGATAAAATTAAATAAAAACAGTTAAAAACAACACTGATGAAATAAGGCCAGGCAAATTTTAAAAACCATGTGACATAGTCAACTGTGGTGTAGACCTGTTCATCCAGCTAAGAAACATAAGACTTCCACCAAGAGGCAAGAATAGTTTTAGAGCTTTAGCTATATCCTTATCAAGCGTGAACCTCCAATAGAAATTGACTTCAGGGTCAATGTACCAACCAAACAGTTACACAAGCTGTGTAAGGCTCCTCTTCAAGCTGGATGCTGTATTTAAAAATCATGTGAAAAGCTCCATTGTGGACAAAATGTAGAAAATGTCATATCAGGATTAAAATAGCAACTTTTATTTCATGACCAGCAATGGTTTGCATGGGATGGGAATGGAGACAAATGTGGGAGGGGACCTTGTTGGGTTGGGTGGGCCCTTGGCCTGATCCAGCAGGCTCTTGTGTTCTTATGGGAGATGCAATGACATTCCATCACACATTGTGGGTGTGTCACTATAAGTCAGGGATGGGGAACCTTCAGCCCCCATCATCCTGGTTCTGTCCCAGACCAACATAGCAGTAATGTAATAATGTCACTATCTTTAAACCAAAGGTTATCTTGTGTATGCTGCTGCTTTTTTTGTTGCATTGCATTGTATTTGGGTTATTTACACTGATTGTTTTACAATTTTATGTTTTCATTTTCAGCATTTTTTACTGATCGCTGCTCGGAGTAAACAAGACGGGGCCAATGTAGCATGTGATCAGGAACCAAAGGACTGCTGCTTGTGGCAAGGAGGTGAACGGGGGGGGGGGTAAGTGGAGAGCCTTCAGTCCTCTCACCACCATCTACAGCTACCCCCTTTGTCCTGCTAACTAGCACCTCGTGAGCCTCTTACCATTTGGCAAATCAGCCCCAGCAGCTGAGAGCAGCAGCAGTAGTGTTATCTCGGCACCTGCAGCCAATCTTCATCTGGCGGCAGCACCAGCTACAAAGCATAGACAGAGCCACTGCTACAATTGTTTTAACTATTTCTTCAGATGAAGGTCAGTATGAAAATAACAATAACAATAATAATAATAATAATAATAATAATAATAATAATAATAATAATTAATAATAAATAAATTCACCAAATTAATTCAAAAATCTTGAATTATACCTGAAAGTAGATCCTATTATTTCTAGGTGAGCTGAAGGCGAATTAAGTGTCTTTTGTGTAGAACTTTGGCAGATGTTACATTCAATTCTCTCTCTCTCTCTCTCTCTCTCTCTCTCTCTCTCTCTGGGTTTCTTCACACTTACTCTCTGTTTAATTGTTGCCATTGCAGTTACCATTTTAAACCTATCTGAAAAGTGATGTAGCTGTTTACGTTTTAAAGATCACAATTGTTGGGGGGGGGAATAAACAAACAATTGTTCACATTTACACTGTGTACTGTATAGGTTTCGGTGCTTTCTTAGTCTATTTTATACTTTAAGCAGAGCTGCTTGTAAAATTCTGAAGGCTGAAAAACAACACTGAGGACCACTTGAACGAACTGTGAATTATACTGAAACAGAATTGGTTACTTTCTCATACAGTCATAGAATTGTAGAGTTGGAAGGGACCGAAAGAGGCATCTAGTCCAACCCTCTCCAATGCAGGACTCATTTGGAAGGGGTGAACTAGAGTTGGAACAAATTCTTTTTTGGAAGTGGAGACCTGGAACTGGAACTAATTCCTTTTAAAAATGAACTTTCCAAGCACTGTTCCTGATAAAACTGTATATTCTTTATGCATTTAAGCCACCTTGAGAAGGCTGTATTCATGAAAGGTGGCTTAAAAATATTTGACTACATATAATCATATAATAAAATGATTGTTGCTTAAACATTTTAGATTTTGAAAATACATTTTACAAAGCCCTTTTACAACAACAAAATAATTAGCTTTTAAGAGTCAACAAATTGTCTGTTAGGCTTGTGTAGTAGTCTGGGCTGAACTACATAATATCTGTTTGCTTGTTTCTTCCCATGCCTACATTGGCTTAGCAAAATACTGTCATTTTCTGACTCCATCTGCTATATATGATATGATGAATGTAGCCATTCTTCTTTCCCCATCATTACAGCTGGTCTTTGATCCAAAGCAGCTAATTTATATTTACCATCTATCAGCTACCATCATAAGTTTTAGGGAAAGAGGCTCAGGCACACCTGGGCAGAATGAATTTTCTTTGATGCAGTTGGAGAATATCTCAAAATGTGATTAAGAGTCATTCATCCTACTCTTGATGGGCCACATGGGAATCATCTTTAACTTTCATAGCGGAGAGCATTTGTTTGCTTAAATCACCATAAATACTTCCAAATTCATTTGATGTTATAATCTGCTGCCATCATTACATCACTGTCATCTAAGGGTACCTGTTTTCCCTTATATGTTGAGATCAAGTTGCATATAGCTTCCTAGGCCAGCATCTCTTCCCAACCCAACATGGAAATTAATATCAACTTAGACTGAAGTTAAAGGTTTACTTGTATTTAACAGCTGTAGATGTATGGTTACAGGATCACGTCTTCTGTAAAAACTTGTTGACATGTTAATATATTTAAGGAAATCCCTGACTGTCACAACATAAAACACTCCTCATTTCAGAATTGGGTAATTTTACACAGCATAGTCACAGTCCAAACCTATTTGCATGTAGCCATAGTTAGCTACTCTCAGCCGTGCCAGTTAACACTTTTGCAGGTATTGCATACAACAAGGAAGGTGATGTTCAGTATATCCAGTTGAGTCTATAGATATGTGAGGCCCTGGCTGGTGGATTGTATTGTGGAATTGTGCTCAGAGCAGCTATTTGCACACGATTCCTTATTTAGCTGGGGATATTACTGTAAATCTATTAAACACTAATAAGAACTGAACCTATCAGGTTGGATAGAGAGAGATGCTGTTACAGGACAGGAAATTAGTATATAAACTGAAGGTAGTATCAGCATTAAGGAAAGTAATCTGTACCTGTGGCTTGAACAGCACAACCATAAAATGGTGCAAACTGCACTTTGTTTCATCTTTATATATAAAAAAATGCAAACTGGCCCATCCTCCATACCCCGCAAGTGTCCCAGAAAAACCAGGCCATCCTGTTTTTTCCCGTGAGAGCATGCTGGCCATTGGGGGTCCATGATATTGTGCCGAGATCTCACCCCCCCCAACCACTTTTTCAGGGCTGCAGTCTTGCCCTCCTCCCCTTTTAGGATCTCTGATTTTGCACAGGTCACGTGACTCATGAGGGAGTACGGATGGGAAGACACATGTCCTGGTTTTGGGACTCAACATATTGGAGGGTATGCATCCTCTTCATAATAGGGTAAGATTTATGAAGTATAGAAAGCTGCCTTCTACCAAGGCACACTTATTTGTCCATCTAGTGTAGTACTGTCAGCTTTAGATAGCAGCAGCTCTCCAGGATCTCAGGTAGAGAGCTTTACGAATACCTGCCACCTGATATTTTTAACTGGAAATGTCAAAGATTAAGCCCTTAAAGCAGGTAGGGAAAACTTTTGGCTTTCCAGATGTTAACTGAAATATGACTCCCACCAGCCCCTGCAATCATGGCCAATGGCAAGGGAGGTGGAGTTTTATTTCAGCATCATCTGGAGACCCATAGGTTCCCTGCACCTGCTTTAAAGCTTTACAATGAGTTTTTAAAGTTAGCTAGTTTTAAGTTTCTTTGGGGGCCAAAAATTGAGTCAGAAATAATTTTATAAATAATCACAGTAAAAAAGAAAAGAAAAAGGGAACCTTCTACAGGCCAATCATCTGCTCTACAACTTAGCTATGGCCTCTCCCCTAAAATTATATAATTTTATATTAATCTGTGCTCTGTTTTGACCTCCTTTTGTGCAAAGTGTAAGAGGCCACAAGTGTGATATGTGGGGGGCTGGTGCTTATTTGGTTTAGCATCTCAGCATCGTCTACTCAGAGGACCAGTTTCATTCCTACTGATATTTGCATGGTGGCTCAGGATGTTACTCCATCACACTGTTGTAGCACTGCTCTGGAACGAATGCATAAGTCAGGGTGGTGGCACTGAATGAATGACCCCGTCAATTCCTATGGACACAGCTTTACTGTTAATCCAGCAAAGGGTCAATCTGTTTGTTCTGCAATATAAAAAGAAAGGTTTATTGGGTAAGTTTCCGCCAGTTTTCATCAGGTCCTATGCAAAAGCTTCCAAAGCCATGGAATATGACTGTGATTGTGCTATCTTTGCACATCCCACAGGAGTGTGTTTAGGTGTGTTTACTCAGAAGTACATCCCATTGTATTCAGTGGGACTTACTCTCTGGTAAGTATTCCTAAGATTGAAGCCTGATGATTTATAAAACACATGATGGAAATGCTCACAAAGGATTTCAAATATATCATCTCAGTAATTCTTAGAACAAAAGGATCACAGCAGCCATATAACTTTGGCTAGGATTATTCTCCCCATTTTTCAGAAAGGGGCTGAGGCTAAAAAGAATAGTCACTAGCATAATACCATTGGGTGAGTTAAAGAGTGGGTTGAAATCTGCACAATGGCTCACACTCGCTAAGAGTCACAATGGCTCACACTCGCCACTATGCAATTATAATATAATATAATATAATATAATATATAATATAATATAATATAATATAATAATATTTTAAATCCACCCATCTGTCTGGGTTTCCCCAGCCACTCAGAGTGGCTCCCAACAGAATATTACAGACATGATAAAACATCAAACATTAAAAACTTCTCTAAACAGGGCTGCCTTCAGATGTCTTCTAAAAGTCAGATAGTTGCTTATTTTATTACAGATTGTGCTGAAAGTTTCAAACCAACTCCCATTCCATTTGACTTGCAGCAAAGGGAGAGGAGTGGCAGTAGGGCCCACTCCATCAACCCAACTGAAAGACCACCTCCACTGGGTTTCTCCTCTTCCCCGGACTGTTTCTATGCAAGCTGGTCATTAGAAAAACTTAGCAGCTTTGGGACCTGTTGCCTGAGTTTGCCTGCATGCCCTGTATTTCATTTGTGCCATGTGTATTTTAGACTGTAAGGCCCGAGGGCATGGGCTGTCTTTTTTATTATTGTTTTTATCGACCTGATGTAAGCTGCTCTGGGAACCTTTTCAGCTGGCAAGTAGGGAAAAGCAAAGGTCCCTTTAAAGAAACACTCTTCAGATTGCTCACATGGAGGCGAGCAGGCTGCTTGCAGGCACAGCAAAATGTACAGGTTGCAAAGGTGTTGCAAAAGGAATGCAAATACAAATGGATGTGGGTGGTAGAGGAAAGGTGTGGGAAAAGGGATTGTGAAGAATTACAGGATGCAAAGAAGTGGTGAGACATATAGGCAGAGTGGAATATGGATATATGTGTATCTGTTCAGGTAGGCAGTCTTTGTTAGAGAGTGCGATGGGGCAAAGCAGGCTGCTTGTTTTGTTTTGGCCGTGTTTATTATGTCTTTTCCTAGATACTGTGAGGAATGAGATTATAGGGGAGCGGCGGAGAAGAGAAACAGGAAGAGATGGATGAAAGCCTTAGGGTTAACATGCATGCACACACACACACACAAACGCACGCACGCGCACACCCCTAATCACATCCATACTATTACACAAACTAATCTCCTGGGACCACATGTCTTGGAACAGGAAGGCCTCCTGCCTGGGGTGCTTCCACTGCTAAGCCACCTGCTCTCCCTGCTGTCAAAAAATCACCAGAGTTAGAGGAAGCACGGCAAAGAAGTGGAATAAACAGTGATCCTTGGAGAAGGCTTCTGGGGAGCAATGGTAGATGTTTATCCCATGACACATTCCATGTTCATTCGATAGGTATGATTTGCAAAAGGTTGGTTGTATGCATGATGTCACACCGCAAAGGGCTGCTGGTAACGTTTCCTTGTGTGAAACTTTAATGCATTCTTTAGAAGAGATTCTCCTTCCTCTCTTCTCTACCCACTCTGTCCCTTCTGTTATCTCATATTAGCCATAGACCCTCCAAAAAAAGTTCAGGAATGACTTTGAATCAGACATTTTACAATTGTGTGGTTTTTTAAAAAAAAGAAATTATCTAAAAAAACCAGACTGAAGGGTTTAATTAACAAGCTCCAAGTAATAGTTAGACCCTTTCCCCTTCTGCTATCAGCTTTCACTTTTATTTACGATGGGAGTCCCCCTTGTATCTCCTTTCCCACAGAACCCACTATCACTAATATTTCTGTGATCTGTGAATAAACCAAAATTTAAAGTTAGTTACTTACAATCAATGCAAATTAATGATTTCTTTTTTTAAAAAAAAAATATTTCAATCAGGAAAAGCAGCTTTGTAGTCGAAAATCCCACGCTGGCCTTAGAGTGGGAGTTTTTCCAGCCTCTGCTTAAATCCAAAAAAATACTGCAATCTTCTGGCACAGGCTCACTGTAATGCTTTAAAAACAATTTAGCAACTGTCATTGCTGTAATTACAGTAACTAATTACCATCCTTAGCAAACAAATAGCTTAACATAATACGCAAGCCGAATCAATTTTGAAGAAATGCAAATTCCGAAAGCAAAAAAGGGCATTTTGGCAAACCTGAAAGAGAAGCGGGAAAATAATACACTTTGTTTTATCTCCACATAATTCCCAGGGAATATCATATCATAAATATTTGCATTCAGTTCTTATCAGGACATTTGCATTTGCTTCCTTATCAGTCTGCAGGCCGGACTCTGCCAGATAGAGAGTCGAGCTCCACACCATGTACATATTTCTAATGAATCACGTCGCAGGCTGAGAGAATATTTTGGCTG